AGATTGTATCAAGTTTTCCACCCAAACCACCCATGTGGCAATACTTTCTTGAAAGGACAGAGTGATGGCTAAAGATCTGAGTGCCATCAAATAGTTGTCCACATTCCTTATCTTCACAGCATCTTCCCAAATCAGTGCCTTCTTAAAGATGAATGCCATGTCTTAAGTGCTTATTACTCAGCGTCCCTTCTACTTCAGCCAATGACTGTGCTGCCATTTTTGCAGTCAGGGAGAGCTGGAGAGCCACACAAAATGAATTGCCTGAGAAAGGCTGAGCTTTCCACTTAAACCCAGTCCCCTGCATTGGGAAGAGTCACCACTACACGAGTGATGGCAGAGAATACTGTTGGAGATGATGGTCTCATCTTATAGTAAATAAAGCATGCCATTTCAAACACCAATGATTCCCAAGTTTTTATGCCCCACCAGGATTCCTGAAGTTCAGAGAGGTGCATTCCACTGGCTTCACAAACCTCTGCCTGGATGTCTCTAAGTCCCTTCTCATTCACACTTCATTAACAGAACCAGTCAAGACCTGGGACAGTTCCACAAACTTGAATCTAGGTGAAAACTGTTAAGAGAGTTCTTTTTACTATTCATGTAACTCTCTTTAAAATTACTTTAACGAGGTTAAAACAAAACCAAACCTCTATTTCTACCCTTCAAAAGTTTATGCCTTTACCAGATTTCCTCATGTCACTAAAACCAAAAATTCAGGGGTAGTGATTTCTCTCCTTTATTACTCTCCTTTTAAAGTTAGATGTTGGGGCGCCTGGGTGGCCCAGTCGGTTAGGTGTCTGCCTTCAGCTCAGGTCATGATCCCAGGGTCCTGGGATCGAGCCCAGCATTGGACTTCCTGCTCAGCAAAGAACCTGCTTCTCCCTCTCCCTCTGCTGCTCCCTCTGCTTGTGCATTCTCTCTCTCTCAAATAAATAAAATCTTTTAAAGTTAATTGTTGATACATACAAAAAGAATCTATGTGGTAAACACGTTACAAATAGTCACAGGAAATCCCTGAAGCCTTCGCCTCTGAGGGATCCTTGGCAGCTTCCTTTCCTTTGGTCATTACTCACCTGACCCCAGTGAATCCACTTATGAATTGGGAAAAGGCCATGCTGGCTTCTCCCCAACCCCTCTGCTACTCTCAGGCCAGGTGGTATCACCTCTTCCCTAGATGCTACCTACCACAGCTCCCTGGCCTGCTTCCATCTGGCCCTACTATAGTTCTTTCTTCTTAAGCACCTAAAGTATGCTTGAAAAGCCATATCACACACCTGCTTGATAAAAATCAAAACTCTCCTCAGACTGAAGGCCCTGTGTGCATTGCCAAACCTAGCTTGCATGTCAGTATACCTGTTACCTCCTCCCAGCCCATTCAGTGACTATTTTCTAAATGTGCCAAGCTTGTTCCATTCTCATGGTCACCCCGAATGCTGTCTCTATGCCTGGAAGTTCTCTTTACCACCACTCATATGTCTGTAGAATTCTTTTTCTTTGGAAATTGGCTTAAAATTTCACTCCTGCAGTGCCCCCTCACCAACCACCTCCTCTAGAGTAGTAATTTCCCATTACCCCCCACATTACATCACATTCTTTTTCGTCTCAGTACTTACCACTACTTATCTGTTCACAGAGTTATATATGGGGAACTTGTTTGTAGAAGCCATAATCTATTAGACTACAAAGTCCACAGTGGCAAGGATTATGTTAGGTCTTTGGTTCACTACCAAAGTGTTTAGTGTACTACATGGGACCGAAGAGGACTTCCACAAGTATTTGTGAGGTGTAACAAGGGGAGGCAGTAGAGGGAAAACAACATGTAAAGGACTCTTTATGACAGAGCAGAGATGAGTCCAGCAACTATTACCTCAGGCACAGTCTGTAATAAAGTGTCCTGATAAGCCTCCCTGCACATGGTCTCTTGCTCTGGGACATCACCTCAGAATCTCCTGTCACCTGTTAAGCCAGTTCTCCCAAGATGTGCAGAACCATAGGTGCCCAAAATCCCTCATGGCACCTAAGTTCAGGAAACTACTAGATCATCCAAAAGTGCAAGGCTGGAAGGTTTGCCAACACAGGACTTGAGCCCAGGGAGGATGAGACACAGACCTGCCACAACCAGAGCCACCACACATGAAGGGACTTTGGAAGGCTGGATCAAGGGGAACAACCAGGAAAGATACCACGGTGGGTGGACACAAAGTACTTGTGTTGCTGGGGACCTTTCAAGTGAGGTATAGTTTAGTGACCTGTGCTAGTGGTTGGAAGGGAGGTTTTCGATGTAGGGAATGAAAGGAATGACTCTGAATATGGAATAGAAAAAAAACATTAATGCTGAGCCATCAAACTGAATCCAGAAAAGGGAGGCAGAGAGTCACAGAGATGCCAGTCTGTGTTGTGGCAAACAGAAAATCATCACCAGGGACACCTGGGTGGCTCAGTCGGTTAAGCGTCTGCCTTTGGCTCAGGTCATGATCCCAGGCTCCTGGGATCAAGTCCCGCATCAGGTCCCCTGCTCTCTCCCCTCCCTCTGCCTCTCTCAGTCTCTCATGAATAAATGAATAAAATCTTAAAAAAAGGAAAGAAAATCATCACCAGAGATGGGTACCAGGTGCAGATTTCATGGCTGAATACTGCTAGAAGCAGGTAGTTCCAATGTCACTTGCATTAGAACACAGAGAACAAAGGGAAGGAAGAGCATCCAAAGTTTTCTTTACAAAGTCAGCACACTCTGATATAAAAGTTGATTAAGATAAAAAACGCAAAAAAGAAATCCACCCCTCTCCCCAACCTAATTTATGAATACTGATGTGTCAGTGGATGTCAGCAGCAAGTTACAACAAAGGGGCTTCTACGTTTATTAGGTCACCGTGTTAACTGTTCAAAGGAGAAAATCAGTATGATCATTTGGAAGGCTATGAGAGAAAACCGGGGCTATTACCGGTTATCAGTTATTAGAAAGGGCTAGATGACAATTTCTTTATCCAGATAAAACTGATTTGAATCAAAGCAGAGTCCAGCACCATGCTCATCAAAGCTGAGAAACTTTCCTGTTTAGGTCAGACATTCACTTTTCACTCTCTCAGCTTCAGTGTTTTGGAAGTACCAGCTGCAATGAATGTCATTATGGAATTGGGCAAAAGAAGTAAAATAAATACTAATACAGTTGCCTTCTTAAAACTTGCTGGTAAAATGACTGTACTGAGAAAATGAGAACCTAATAAGACCACTAGTAAAGAGAATTTAGGAGCATGCCAGGCTCATCTGGATCAACTATGTGAGACTGCAAAGGAAGACTAACGTGAGCAGATTAACAGCAACCACAGTGAAAGCCCAAGAGCACTCAGAAGGCCTGACAAAGCACAACGAGGCGAGCAGATCTCTTTGTATACTTGTGTCAAAATTGACTAGACAGACCAATTCTGCATCAAGGAATTCTAAATCCAATCATTCTAACAGGATTTTCTCAATGAATCCCAGACAAGCTGATGCTAAGTGTTCATCTGGCAAACCACCTGGCTGAGAACAGCTAAGAATTTTTTTAAAAAATGAGAGGAACTCCCATTTATCCAAGTTTGTTATAAAACTACCATACAGCAATATGGTGTTTACTCAGACTGAGATCAAGGAAGCAGAAGGAACCAAGATGGAGGCCTGCACCTGATGAGGACTATGGGAATTTAGTCTACGATAAAGATGGTGTTTCTGAAAAGTGGAAGAATCCAGTCAGAAAACATGTTGAAAGAACTTAATGTTCCAGGCCACATACATAAATTCCATAGAAGTGCAGCAATTAAACAAACAAAAAAAATACTGAAACACAAGTATTTATAAAATCTCCCTATCTGTGATACTAATAGGAATAAAAACAGATTTGAAAGGAAAAATACCTGAATCATAAAGCTTAATGGAGACTAAATTTAAAGGTAGATGATAAATGTTGGTCTGGGATATTTGTATTACTAATACCCATAATTAATAGAGTTGCCAGCAAAATACCCCACCCAAAAATAAAAACCAATAGAAAAAAACAATGGGGGGGGAGCGCCTGTGTGGCTCAGTTGTTAAGCATCTGCCTTCGGCTCAGGTCACGATCCCACAGTTCTGGGATAAGCCCCGCAACAGGCTCCCTGCTCAGTGGGAAGCTTGCTTCTCCCTCTCCCACTCCCCCTGCTTGTGCTCCCTCTCTCACTGTGTCTCTGTCAAATAAATAAAATCTTAAAAAAAAAAAAAGGAAAGTATATGAACCCACAAAAGAAAAAATATAAGTGGTCTGTAAGCTTATAAAAATATGTGTAACTTCATGAGAGAAATGTGAACTACACTCAACATACTATCAGATCTGCAAACCTTAAAAAGATTATAACTCTCTGGTAATGAAAGGGAAAAGCTCTCATGTAACTGAGCAGCTACACAGATTTTAAAGGACTTAGAGAGCGGTCTGTTGCTACCAGATTATCAGCTTCTATCTTGGTTGATTCTTAAGTTCTATCTCAACAAATCCTACCTACAAAAAAAAAAAAAAAAAACAACTTGAAAGTGCAAAAATATGTATGCAACAACTTTGCAAAAACCTGAAAGACTATCAAGAGGAAAAATCAAATGTGGACTACACAGTATCTGTTAAAATGAATGAAACAGGCCTGTCTGTATCCAGTAGAACACCCCCCAGTCATAAACATATATTCACATACAAACATGCAAACACCTATAAAGTCTGGACAGACACACCAATTACTGGTGATTACATGAAAGAAGAACAGTAGAACAGATGAGCCCCTACGGCTGACCTGCCACTGGCAACAAGTTCATGTTCAACTAGGTGGTACACCCCTGACTCTGAGACCAGAGGAAAACAGTTTGATTCAGCATATCTGCAGCTACTCATCATACCACCCCATCTGGGGTTTTCCCCTGTCCGTCTTCTTTTCTAAGACACCAGTCCCTGACTGACCAGTCAGCCCATTCCCTGCCGGGACTCCCGTGAGCCTGGTTCTCACCTGAAAAGGTGTCTTGAGGAATTCCTCTCTCCACCGACCAGAGCGCTTCCTCCTCCTCTAACTGAGATACCACATCTGGCTTGGAAAGCTGATGTTCTGCCCAAGGGAAAAGAGACAGGGCTTGGGGGGTCTGTGTTCGGGAGAAAATGCGTTTCTGCTGTGGCACATGCTGTCCCCGAATTCCTCCCTGCAAGGGCATGACTTCTGGTCTACCGTGGTGATGATAATCCAATCAGTTCCCTTTGTCAGCTACTTGCCTTCCTAGACTCCCTTGCCAGTAAAAGTAGCAGTGGGACCCAGTCCTGGCTGGCAAGATACAAAGAAAAATATGTCAGCTGGGGACCTTAGGAGTATTTTTTCTCTTGCTAAATACGGGAGGTGCGAAAAGAGAACTAGCCAGGGCTGCCCCCTCCCCTTCTTTCTGTCTTGAATATGAACATGATGCTGGGTGCCACAGCCATGCAGCCACTAACCTAAGAGTGGAAAAGTTCACAATAACCACAAAGAAATGGAAGGGATCAGTCTTCAGTGATACTCCTGAACTGCTGGAACACTGACCCACATCCCATGGAATTCGTGTTACATAAATGAACACCAGTACTGTCAGCTACATCCCTGACAGACCTACCTCCCTACTAGCATTCAAGGTCTCTAAGGGATGGACTTAGGTGGCTTCAGAAGTCCTATGTGAAGTTGCCCTTTCCCTACAGATACAGATTAAAGCCTTTTCCCTCAGGCTCCAGGGCCTTGACAATTGCACTCTCATCCCTGCAACCTGAGCCCAAGCAGACACACACTTCAGAGGCACCACATTCGTGCTGCAAAGCGCAGATCTTTATTGACATGGAGACCGTCCTTACCCACTGAGACCAGGTTCCTGTAGTTCTCCAGCATCACCTCCCTGTACAGGGACTTCTGTTCGAGGTCCAGCAGTCCCCATTCCTCTGAAGTAAAACCCAGGGTCACATCTTCAAAGGTCACTGGTTCCTAAAACCCACAGGTTTCTGTTCAGCCACGGTCTGTCGTCACCTACACTGACAGGAGGGGGAAGGCTGACCCAGCACATGAGGGTACAGTCTACAAGATGACCCAAGAGCATTCCGGGTGGCTCCTGTGTTCCTGAAATTGTCTGGAACTGAGCAAACCCAAGCTTGACCCTATTCAGGTCACAGCAAGGAGGACAACATGTGAGGCCAGAGAGGGCTCTTCTTCCTCTGGACTTGTCCATGTTTTATTAACTTGGGGATTCCCACTGCGTCTATACCTCCTCGTAGGTAATTCTGTGAGCCGCATCATCACACCCAAGCCTTCAGCCCCCACCCACCGCCTGTGCTGCCTCTACTCCCCTCACATGCCGAGGATCCATCCCCCCGTTTTCTCTTAATGCCTGAGCTCACGTCCCCTCTAGCTTTGAGGCCAAAGTAGCTGTGAAACAGAAATGGGAGTCTGATCCCTGTTCAAACCTACCAGCGTCTACCTACACTATAAAGGATCAATCAGAATCCCCCAGAACCCAACCTGTACTCTACCCACTCCCTTGGAAAGCTAAGCGACCCGCGGTTCATCTCTTCTGCAGCGGCTCCCATTCCCAGTCTCTCAATCCCCAAGATGCTCTGGGGCCTGAAGTCATCTCAAGGGAAGGTGGCGTCCCACTATCATCCGGCTACCCCCACCCCCAGATCCAGGGCTAGGCTCAGAAACTCAAAGAAGCCTCTACTCACACGGAACCAGGCCGTCGGAAGCCCGGAGCTCATACCTTCCTTCTCGACGTTATCTCGTGGGAGTGGGCAGCCCTGAGAAGGTCGAATGTGGGAGGCAGAAGAGGTGTGAGGGCTACGCAGGACGGGGGGGGCTCGTCTGCGCAGCAGCGGCCCTACCAACGTGAAATGCCGAGTCCACCCCCAACCTCGGAAGACGCACTCAAAGGGTCGTCTCCACCTACTCCCCGACACCTAGCGGGCCGGTTTCCACCCGTCAAGAGGAGCCCATCCTCATACCTTCCCACCCAGAGGGAGTTCCTCCGCTCTCCAGTCCGCACACGCCCGGGGCGGGTCGGCCCGCCTTAAGCCCCACGCCCGGAGTTGTCTTTCCTCTGGGCCCCGAGTCCCCTGCCACACCGCCCCTTGCGGCCCCGCGGCGGGAAGACGCCAGGCAAGGCCGGCCTCCGGCTGCTGAGCTCGGCGGGGAAGGGCCTGAGGCTGCACACCCCGAAGAGTGGCTGTGGGACGATTCCGCACAGCCCCGACGGGAGCAGGTTTCGCGCCACACTCACCCAGTGCGCGGCGCACAATGGCGACCGTCGGCCCGCGGCGAAATGCGTCAGCGCGTCGGCCTGGACTACAACTCCCAGCCACCCCTGCGGCGAGCCCGCCCGACCTCGCCCAGGCGGCGGCCATCTTGGCTGGCCATCTCGGGGGGCCCGGCGAAGCCCGGGCCGCCCAGAAGAGGTCCGTCGCCGGCGACCCTCGGTGGTGCGGCTGTGGCCTGGGGGAGGGCTCAAGTCGGGTACGCCAGGCCACGGGGCCTCAACACCTTTCCAAGTAGCACCACAGGCCAGGACATTGTCTTGCTCCGCCACGAGGGCGACCACTCGTGGGATGAGCCGGAAGTTAGGGAGGGAAGGAGGCAGAAGGGGCGGGCCGGAAGTTGATTAAAGTGGGGGGGGGCTGGCGGGCCGGACGACTACGTCCCTGCGCGGAGGAGGAAGAGCGGGCCGGCACGGCAGCGTATGGGGCCGGGGCTAACCGCTACTCCCACCCAGTGCGGAGGAGGGAGGGGTGGGAACGGGGCGCGGGGAGCGTGCAGGGGGCGGGCTTGACGTCCGGCCAGGCTCGAGGGAGGAGGAGGGACGGGCGAGTACTGTGGGGGGCGGCGCCGAAGTCCGCCCGAGTTCCGGGAAGAGGCCGCGAGGGGATAGGCGGAAGTGAGTGGGGGCGGCGCTGAATGCGGGTCCCTGTCTGCGGGGCAGAGGAAGGGGCGCAGGGGGGCGGCCGGGGAGCGTGCCGGCGGCGGGGCTCAGATCGTCCCGGACCTCTGAGAGGAGGGGCGAGTAGGGCCCGCCCAGAACGCGCAGGTGGCGGGGTTCTGTGGTCTTGTGGGGGAGGGGGGAGGGGGGAGGGGGAGAGGAGGGCCGGGCGTGAATGTCCGCTCAAGGGGCGGGGCGGAGGGCAGGGCTAGCTGCGCCCTGAGCAGGGGTGTGGCGGGTGCGTCGTCAAAACCAGAGCTAGACGGAAGTTAGAGCTGAGGAAACATTGTGTCCCCAAAACTGTCAGGGGAAGAGACGCTCCGGTCTA